TTACAAAGTGACACAGATAGGTTACAGAAACACCTTTAGTTTGAGGAATAGCCGCAGAGCAGTCACGGTGCCCATGCAGACCCCTGTCCACTGCCAAAAGAGCCTACAACGGGCACGTGAGCATCAGAACTGGACCGCGGAGACATGGAAGATGAAACACATTTCTACATCACATGGATGGCTGGGTGCGTATGTGTCGGTTACCTGGGGAACACGTGGCACTATGGGATGAAGGCAGGCCGGAAGACAATCCCCTTTCATGGAAACAGTATTACCTGGTGACCCTACCACAAAAGGAAAAATGGTTCACCAATAGTTTGAGGAACACAAGTTCAAGGTGTTGACTTGGCCTCCATATTCCCCAGATCTCAGTCCAATTGAGCACCGGTGTGATGTGCTGGACAAAGAAGACCATGAAGGTCCCACCTCACAACTGACAGGAGCGTGCATGCATACACATGCATACATATATAGAGCACACACATATGTGTATGTATATACTGTAGAGCTCCTGGATAGCTCAGCGGTTAATGCCTCTGACATTGGTAGTACAGGTGATTGTGGGTTTGATTACCAGTCAGGGTGGGGGTATGCAGGTGGACCCTTAGGCAAGGTCCTTAATGCTACCAGCCTACCTCAGGCATGAGTGAAATGGTAAATACAAGACCAGTACCGGCTCGGATGTCGCCTGGGTCAACAAGGTCTGCGTCATGAGCAGTTCAATGGTGATTATCAGACATTTATATTTTCATATTAGATGTCTTATTTTGCAGAACCATACCAGTGTTGGTAGGGGCTAGGGGCTAAACACCAGTAATAGTCCTTAAAGCAGGAAATCAAACTTTCTTTGATGACACACATATCAGCACCCCTGCAACAAGCCACAACATTCAATTCAATTCAATTTTATTTATATAGCGCCAAATCACAACAACAGTTATCTCACAGCGCTTTTCATAAAAGAGCAGGTCTAGACCGTACTCTGTGATGTTATTTACAGAAGCCCAACAGTTCCCACCAAGAGCAAGCACTAGGCGACAGAGGCAAGGAAAAACTTCCTTTTAAGAGGCAGAAACCTCGAGCAGAACCATGGCTCAGGGTGGGCGGCCATCTGCCTCGACCGGTTGGGGTGTGAGAGAGAGAGAGAGAGAGAGAGAGAGAGAGAGAGAGAGAGAGAGGCAGCCTACACAATATACACACAGAGGTACAGACAGTGAAGGTGATGTTGCTATAGACTAAATGAAAAATGGTACAGATATTTATAATAGTGTTAATGGTAACCATCGTAATGTTAATGATTATAATAACAATAATAACAATAAGACTAGCAACAATAGTCGCTGCAGCAGAGGGTGTCGAGCAGGAACACGGGGGCAGCAGGTGACCCACAGCCACAGATCCAGACTCCACAGCTCCAGAGCCAGAAAATCTGCAGGAAGTGATAGGAGGAGAGAGGAGAGAGACAAGCACAAGACTACCAGAAAGGGGAGAAGTTGTGTTAGTAACATGCAATAATGGGATAAGGTTGCATACAGAGGGAGAAAGTAGAGGAGAGAGGAGCTCAGTGCATCATGGGAAATCCCCCGGCAGTCAAGGCCTATAGCAGCATAACTAAGGGATGGTTCAGGACTCACCTGAGCCAGCCCTAACTATAAGCTTTATCAAAGAGGAAAGTCTTAAGCCTACTCTTAAATGTGGAGATGGTGTCTGCCTCCTGAACCCAAACTGGAACCTGGTTCCACAGGAGAGGAGCTTGATAGCCGAACGCTCTGGCTCCTAGTCTACTTTTGGAGACTCTAGGAACCACAAATAACCCTGCATTCTGGGAGCGCAGTGCTCTGGTGGGGTAGTAAGGTACTATGAGCTCTTTAAGATAAGATGGTGCCTGACCATTAAGAGCTTTGTAGGTAAGAAGAATGATTTTAAATTCTATTCTGGATTTTACTGGAAGCCAATGCAAAGAAGCTAAAACAGGAGAAATGTGATCTCTTTTCCTGGTTCCTGTCAGAACACGTGCTGCAGCATTCTGGATCAGCTGAAGAGTTTAATGGACTTTTGCGAGCAGCCTGATAATAAGGAATTGCAGTAATCCAGCCTAGAAGTAACAAATGCATGGACTAGTTTTTCTGCATCATTTTTAGACAGGATGTTCCTGATTTTCGCAATATTATGTAGGTGAAAAAAGGCGGTCCTTGAAATTTGCTTAATGTGAGACTTAAACGACATGTCCTGATCAAAGATAACTCCAAGATTCCTCACAGTGGTGCTGGAGGCCAAGGCAATGCCATCAAGGGAAACTATATCTTTAGATAATGCGTCACGGAGGTGCTTAGGCCCCAGAGCAATAACTTCAGTTTTATCTGAGTTTAACATGAGAAAATTACAGGTCATCCAGGTTTTAACATCCTGAAGGCACATTTGAAGTTTAGCTAACTGATGAGTTTCATCTGGCTTGATCGATAGATATAACTGAGTATCATCTGCATAACAATGAAAGCTTATGGAATGTTTCCTGATAATATTGCCTAAAGGAAGCATATATAAAGTGAAGAGGATTGGTCCAAGGACAGATCCTTGAGGAACTCCATGAGTAACTTTGGCGTGCATGGAGGACTCATCGTTAACATGTACAAACTGAAATCGATCTGATAAATAGGACTTAAACCAGCTTAGAGCGGTTCCTTTAATGCCAATGAAATATTCCAGTCTCTGCAATAGGATCTGATGGTCAATGGTATCAAATGCAGCACTAAGATCTAATAAAACCAGTACAGAGACAAGTCCTTTGTCTGATGCAATAAGGAGGTCGTTAGTAATTTTCACCAGTGCTGTCTCTGTGCTATGATGAGCTCTAAATCCTGACTGAAAATCCTCAAATAAACAATTTCTCTGTAGAAAGTCACACAGCTGTTTAGCAACTGCTTTCTCCAGAACCTTAGAGAGAAATGGAAGGTTAGATATAGGTCTATAGTTGGCTAAAACATCCGGATCAAGTTTGGGCTTTTTCAGAAGAGGTTTAATTACAGCTACTTTAAAGTACTGTGGTACATAGCCTGTTGATAAAGATAGATTGATCATATCTAGTATAGAGGTGCTGACTAAGGGTAGAACATCTTTAAGCAGCCTAGTCGCATTGCATTCATTGAGTATTTCATGAGTATTACTTACCTGAAATAGCCATGGTCACTAAACACAGAGTATGGGTAGTACAACAAGTACAACGACAGAAAGGTGCAAGGAAGGGGCTACAACAATCCAAGGGAACTACAAGGGAAATACAACAAGCTGTCAATACCTGAGGCTCTGGAGGCTCCCAGAACAAGATCCAGTAACCATTACAACGGCAGACATCCAAGAAAGAGTGGCAGGTATGAAGAGCTGGACAGCACCAGGCCCTGACATGATCCACACCTACTGGCTGAAGAAACTAACTGCACTCCATGAACACCTAGCAGCACAATTAAACCAACCGCTGATGGATGGGATGGAAGGATCCCCAGAAGGGAACAATCCCATCCAACTACCGGCCACTAACCTGCCTCTGCACAACATGGAATCTCCTGTCAGGCATCATAGCGGCTAAGATGAGTAGGCACATGGCTCAATACATGGACAGAGCCCAGAAGAGGATGGGTAGTAATACCAGGGGAGCAAAGCACCAGCTACTGCTTGATAGAGCAGTCACTTGAGACTGCAAGACCAGGCAGAGCAACCTGTGCACCACCTGGATTAACTACAAGAAAGCCTATGACTCAATGCCACATACATGGACACTGGAATGCTTGGAAATGTACAAGATCAACAGGACACTAATAGCTTTCATCAAGAACTTAATGTGGCTGTGGAAAACAAGTCTGGAAGTCAACTCAAAGCTAATTCCACAAGTCACCATCAAGTGCGGCATATACCAAGGTGATGCACTATCCCCGCTGCTGTTCTGCATAAGCCTGAACCCCCTCAGCCAAATCATCACAAAGACTGGCTACGGATACCGGTTCCGAAGTGGAACAACCATCAGTCACCTCCTCTACATGGATGACATCAAGGTGTATGCAAGAAATAAGCGAGACATCGACTCACTGATCCACAGTACCAGGATCTACAGTAATGACATTGGAATGCCGTTTGGACTGGACTATTATGGTCGCATGGTATCAAAAAGAGGGAAGATAATCAGAACCGAGGGGACTGAACTACCAGAAGGCCACATTGCAGATGTTCAGGACAGCTACAAATACCTTGGGGTGCCACAGGCTAACGGAAACCATGAGGAGGCAGCAAGGAAGTCCGCCACAGCCAAATACCTACAGAGAGTAAGGCAGGTCCTGACAATGCATATAATGCATATATATATATGCATTATATAATATATATATATGCATATATATATATATATATATGCATATATATATATACATGCATATATATATATATATATATATATATGCATATATATA